TTCCATAAGCCACGCCTAGACCAGCTTTGTCACATCACAGGAATGCCTCCTATGGTCTTGGGTTGATTAGCTGGTCTTTAGTGGGTACTGCCTCCGCCTAGAGCTCCCCTCCTAGCCCAGGGTTAGCTGCCGCGAGTGACGTGATGGTACAGGTACCTGGGATGGGGTAGTCAGGAACTGAGGTTCCCGGCTTGGCCAGCCCATTGATGGCTTGTTGCCCGGCGCTGGGCAACCATGATCCTCATTCCTCCTTAGCTGCCTTACCACAAACCGAGGGAGTGGGACTAACAGTAACTCTGAGCTCTTACACGCTCCGATTTGATAAAATAAGTGCTAGGGACGTGTGTTAAATGGTAGCACAGCATTTCCCCTCCCCACGCCCTGAGGGTCTGGTGTTTCTACTGTCCAAATTTCTTTCAAGCCAACTTTTGGCCTTTGGGTCAAGTGCCAAAACTTCACGGTAATTTGCTTTATACAATAAATGAAGTGTAAATGCAATGCCTCCAAATAAACAGGTATTTTAAATTCACCACCTTACTAGAGAAAGGAATCTGGAGGCAAATATCTCTGTGAAACAAATACCCACATGCCAAAAATATTTCTTTAAAATGAATCCACATTTTCACTTGTTGGTTTTATATAAAGCGGGGGGCAGGTGTACCAGAGCCACGTGAAGTGTATAAGATCAAGTACATTTGTGGACAGTTGCCACATGATGCCACAACCCTGGACCACTCAGCTAAAACCATCTGTTAGAACAGTTGTCGGGTGTCATGTGGATAGCTGGTTACTTTGAGCTTCTCACCTTTTAATTAGTTATTTTGTTGCTGTGTTGACACAGCCTACGTGAAAGATTTTTCTTTCCTAAGAATTTACGTATCGTTTGCACTTATCAGTGACAAATGATTATTCTGGGGAGAAAATGATGCCACAAATGATTTCATCTAATAGATCAGAGCTGTCCCGTCTCCCGAAACAACTTTTCCATCTTCTAAGCTGTTGAAGATTCTAATTAGGTTTGGCCTTCAACACTGCTTTCTTGGTCTGGAAAGAGCCATTCTCCTCTATACTGCAACTAAGCAATTTACTTTAAAATAAATACGCTTCAAAACTCTATACCATATTCACACTGAAAAAGAAAAAAAAAAAAAACAGGGAAAAAAAACCTGCTTCTTTTTCATGGACATTGAACCAACCCAGTGATATGCTGGACATTTAAAGGCTGAGAATTCAACTCTAAAGATGATTTTTAAAAATCTTAGACCAAATTGGAGGCTTGATTATCACACATTACAAAGAAAGAATATGAAAACTATTCAAACGTGACGGGTCATCTTCACAGAACGCCCACACTTTGCAGTAACCTGAAATGCTAGTGGATCTTTGAGGAAATTCCAATGGAGGAGATACGTGCGCTAAGAAGTGTCGCTAAAGGGAGGCCTAGGCAGTGAAAGCTGTCTCTGTGTCTTCCGTGTTTTCTCTCCTGGTGTCAAATATATGACCTACAACAGAGACAAGAAAGTGAAGGGGGGCCACTTCTCTAAGGAAGAGTTGTACGCTTTTCTATGACACGGCCAGACGCGGGACCTCATTGGTAAGGTGTCTGTGTTTCACCTCTAAATCAGTATTTTTTAGCCAAGGCTTTAGGTGTGCCGAATGAGTAATTTTAGCCATTAGAAATCTGTAATGATGATTTTTACAGGAAAACCCATGAATGTGGGTTCCTATTAGAGTATGTTCATATCTATCATCCAGGAGTAGAAAATGGCTAAATAAAATATGATATGACCTGTAAGATGGAATATAGTACAGCTATTAAAATAATGTGTATGGAGATTTGTAATAAAATGGGAAACGCTTGTTAGGTGGTAAAACAAAACAGAACAAAACTTTAGGAAACAAAATTGGATGGATTTGACCTCCGTTATATAAATTTTAAAAATATAGAGAAAAGTCTGGGAAAAAACACCCAACAATAATGGTTGTCTCTGGGTGGTAAAAGTAATTTACATTTTCTTCCTTACACTTTTCTGTATTAATTTCTAAAATGTATGCAAAAGAATGCCAATTTATGAGCAAAAAGTGCTAAGCCTAGGTGCGCTCTGCACTATTCTATTTCAAATCCAGAAGCCTCCTTCAAATTTCAGTACTGTTTTGATTTTATTCTCTGTACTCTCCCCCCCCCCCCAAAATTGTTCCCTTATGGTGGTTTTTCTCCTTTATCAGAGCTCTGTCTCCAACCCCTGGGCTGTAGTAGCCTCTGCCTCTGGTCTGAGGGCGGGATTTGTTCACCAGAACCTAACTCAGTGCTGACTCCTGGCATCGCTCAAAAACGCTTACTGACAGGGTTGAGGGAAAAGAAATTAAGAAAATATGTTTTTCCACTAGAAAAATCTGTATCCATTTTTGTTAAAACTAGACAAACAGAAGTTTGCTTAAGTGTTAACGGACTGAGATAAATGTCATCTGACGCCTGACTGTAACCGTGGCCTGGTCGGTTCTGGTTCATCGAAACACTTGGGGATTTATTGCCCCGTCCCACCCCTTCCCAACACGCATGAATTTGGAAGGAGAAAAAAGACCTTAATAAGGTAATAAAGGCACGGTTAAATCTTTAAAAAGGACCAACTGTTGCCAGCTCAGACAGACCAGATGAGGAAGGTCTGGCCAGTGAGTCTCCAATCCAGGGAGGAAGCTGCATGGACGAGAAAGGTGGAGTTCATCCCTCGGACGGTCTCATTAAGGAGACACGGAAAAGCGGGGAGGACTAAGTCATGGTGCTGTGTTCAGAGAAGCCCCAGACTGGGATTTTACGTGAGAGGCACTCCAGAGACATGCCAGTCTAATCAAGATTGTTTAATTCCATTACTGCAAAATTTGGGCACCAATCCGTGACTTCTCTTCCCCTTTTTGAGGTGATAAGTGGTATTATTTATCATGCTGTTTAGTGATTTGTATCAAATATCTATCAGGAGTCTAGTGAAAAAACCTGCAGGAGGTGTCCTACTATTGTCCTCCTTAGGGCCTCACAGCCTTGGGTAGGGTCTTCTTGGGAAGAAGCCGAGAGCTGAAGCTGCAGCGGACTTCAGGCTGACTTACGACAGACACTCTAACTGTGAAGACGGGGTGACACTGAGATGGAATCCTAAAGGGATTAGTACATCCATCACCTCTTAGGATCTTTAGGAAACATGCAGAGAAGGTGTAAGAAAGCTACGCGGTGGATTGGCTGGGAGTTGAGAGGCCTGGGCTCCGGCCAGGCAACCAACCAGCTGTGAGACCTTGAGAAAGTCATTTAGTGTTTCTGGGCCTCAGGCTTTTTTACCTGTAAAATAAAAGGACTGGATAAAAAGAAGGGACAGGACTAGATGATCTCTAACATGCCTTCTTTCTCAGATTCCTTGAAATTCTTTTCAGTTCCATGAGGTGGTTCTACCATCCTGTATTTCAGTTTTCTCATCTGAAACTTCTCTCTGCCTCCATCTTCAGACAGGAAAACGCAAAGGTATTATTTCAAGGGAATGGTTTTCCAATAATAATACTTCTTAAAAGCCCACTGTGTCAGATGGTGGCCAGGACGGGCAGTGCAAATGTCCTGGGGTCATGGGGGCTGATGGGGGAGGAACCCTGGAAAGTACAACTGGAACAGCAAGGTGTTCCTCCAGAGGGCCTCCCGAAAGGGCACAGTTTCATCATTAGTAGCGGGGCTTCATGCCTCTACCTGGAGTGGGTGGTCAGAACAAGGCTGATAGGAGTTGTCCTGATACTCAGAGGAGCACAGGTTGGGAAGGAACAATAGAGATCATGCATTTCAGTTCTCTTGATTCATAAGTGTGGAAACATAGCCAAACAAGAACTCCCCTTTCTGTAATTTCTATAATGACTATATACAGTGAGAACGTGATAGAAGCCGGTTACTCTTGCCCTCTGCAGTCATTTCATTATTTGTCCATCGATCTGTTGCTTAGCTACTCAGTGACAGAGAAAGCACCGTATCATTTGCGTGTCCGAGTTTTCTGGCTGCTCTGAAGTTCACTAACGTACATTTCGGCTATACCGTGAACTCAGGGTAAGTGCTGTCTGTGAGTTCCTACACAGACTAATGACTCCTCTCATACTTGCTGGATCTAACTTAAAACTTACCACCCCAAATGGAGAGAAAACACTGAGTTGAGCTTTTTCATTTACAGGGTTTTTTTTTGGGGGGGGGGCGCGGTGTGTCCGGGTTTGGTTGTTAGAGAACCTTCAGGTATTTTGAGGGACGTGAATAAAGAGTCTTGAGACCAACTGAGGGGATACACTCTTTGTCGCATGGCTCACTGATCAGACACCTGTCCCTCAGGCTCTCGGGTGAGAACCGATGCAGAGGGAGGAGCCCGGGGGTCGGAAGGATTACTTGAGAGTCAGATAAGAAGTCGGAATTAAGTCTATGGCTTAACCCTGCAGCAGGTGTGGCAGTGAGATGCTGTATTCAGCTGATCGGGTTACAGTGTTAGGAATGTGCCACCCAGGCTAGATGGATGGGCACATTCAATCCCTCACTTAAAACACAGTATTCATCGGGTGCCCATTATAGGAAGAGCAATGACACTGCCTCTCAAAGCTTTTTGCGAGGGAGGTGAGGCCAGAACGCATGTGAATTTCATCATAAAATGGATGATCCCTGATCTAAACAGAAATGTCATTTCATGTTAAAATATTCTTTTTTAATGTCTCAGGGCTTGGGGAGGCAAAACGTTGTGACACTAAGTTCTTAGGACTTGCTGTTCTGAGGTTATCAGGCAGATGAAACAGAATGTGAGAAAACTGTAGCTTTTCATATTCAATGTGCAAAATCTCTCTGAATGCAGGGCATTGAGCTCCTCTGATTACTAGGGGTTGGGCCTCTTACAGAAGCAGTTTGCTCAAGCATCTGCATCTCTGATGTTAAGAACATTTTCAATGCAAATATTCTCACGTGCTGTATTCCAGCGGGTGATGAAAATGGAAATGTGTTTTACCTGTTGGGGGTAGAGAAACGCAGTCCAGCCGTTCATCACCGTCAGCTGCCTCTGCTGGTTACAAACATGAAACACAAATGTCATTAGTTTCAGTGAGCTCATTCATTCTGCCGAATAAGGTAATACAATTAAAAAACCCCAGCGTACATAATAGTTTTCGCCTTTCTTTTCGCTTCTCGGCTTCAGCCAGTTCACATTAGAGATTTTAGTACCATGATTTAAATATTTTTAAAATGATGATATAAAATCCATTTTCCTCTATTAAAATTTTTTATATCTTAGGAACCTTATTCTATCAGTCATTGATGATTTCAGTTCATTTTCGCTTATTTATATAGGCTTAAGTATCCACCCAGAAACTGGCGTGGATTGTTTAAAGATGATCGTCGAAGGCATGGAGGTCAGTGAATTCCTATGGTAGAATTTTACTTGTCATCCTCAGAACCATTCTAGTGGGGCAGGCTTAGGACAGCTTGGGAACGAACCTTTCTTTGGAGATGACTGGAAATTCAATCTAAAATCGGCATTAATTTAGTCATGAATAAAATCAGAAGGAGTAAGAGTTTCTTCAAATGATTTGTCCCTTCTGTGCTTTAAAATGCAAAACTTTGCTCATCTCTGATATATTTCAATCTCCTGAAGAGTTTTCCAAAGGTAGATCCTTCCGTCACAGAAAACCTTCCAGCAAGCACAAAAAAGAAGGTGCCCGTACGTTTCCTGATAAGTGTTGGGCTTGTCAGTTTCCCCAACGTGCTGTGGACAGGCCAGAACATTCCACAGCTGCTGGGATAATTCTGGTCCTGCTCCCTCTGTCCCAGGGCTGCCGCCCCCTTGGAAGTTTCCTGCACATGTGCCCGTGAGGCCAGTCAGGTGAGGGCTGCCCCGTGTAACACGTTGTAATGCTGAGTTGCTGGGAAGTAAACTAATGGTGTGTTCTTGTTTTGACTGCCATGGCTTTAAACACAATCAGGGTTCAGAGATGGATGGAGACTTTCAGAGATTTCCCCTGGTTCACCCCTCCACCATCCTGCCCTCAGACTGCCACATGCTGGCCGTGGTGAAAGACCCTCACCTGCTAAATCCACCACAAAAACACCGAGACAGAGTAGTCAAGACAAGTTTTGGCTGGAAAGGAGCAGCAGCCATGATCCAGCAATCCCACTCCTGGGCATATACCCTGAGAAAACCAGAATTCAAAAGGACACATGCACCCCAATGTTCACTGCAGCACTATTTACAACAGCCAGGTCATGGAAGCAACCTAAATGCCCATCGACAGACGAGTGGATAAAGAAGATGTGGTACATATATACAATGGAATATTACTCAGCCATAAAAAGGAATGAAATTGGGTCATTTGTAGAGACATGGATGGACCTAGAGACTGTCATACAGAGTGAAGTAAGTCAGAAAGAGAAAAACAAATATCGCATATTAATGCATATAGGTGGGATCTAGAAAAATTGTACAGATGAACGGGTTTGCAAGGCAGAAATAGAGACACAGACGTAGAGAACAAACGGTACGAATTGGGAGATTGGGATTGACATATATACAGTAGTATGTATAAAATAGATAACTAATTAGAACCTGCTGTATAAAAAAAAATAAAATTCACAAAAAAAAGAGCAGCAACCACTAAAAATTATGTTGTAGATGAATGTTTAATACTGCATAAAGCATTCCAGTCAAGCGATGGGATAAATGGTAAGATTAGAATTCTATAAATAGGTTTATGGACAAAACACAGGACATACGAAAATGTTAAGTGTTTCTCTCTGGATGAAAAGCTTATGGGTATTTAAAATTTTGTTCTTTGAGTTTTTAAATTTTTCTTATATATTTAAAAAATAACAAACGTGTTATTTTTATATTTAGAAGATATTCTTCTCTTCTGATTGGCTTAAGTGAGCTTGAACAGGAAGGTGAGGTACACGGTAGTTCTTTCAGTGTCTGGGATTTATTTATTTATTTTCACCGTTCAAGGTTTGTTTATTGTTTTAGCTGGTATAACACTTAGATAGCTGGCTGCATTATTTCCGATGATTTTTCTTTTTTACGTCACATGGCAGTGTACACTATTCTGATACATATGGTACATAAAATAAGATTCTTTAGAACAGTTATGCACAGGACATGCAATACTGGATTTATCATCAATCCCAGGATGTGATTAATTGGAGGAAAAAAAGTTGGACTAGGCATCTTGGCTAAAGGAACCAGAAGATTTAAAAGATTCTCCAGTAATAATAATAATAATAGCTATGATAGGCATCACCATTTACTGAATACCACCTCCTGAGCAGTTATTATATGCATTGTGTCAGCTAACCCTTGGCAAGCCCTACAAGGCAGGTCTATCTTATGCCCATTTTAAGAAATGAGGCAACGGAGACAAACGGACGTTAAGACGTACCAAGGGTTTGACTCAGGTTAATGCCTGGGCTTGACCTCTTCGCTCACTATGTATAGACCAAATATAAATCACAGGCATCACTATAAGCTGCAATTGTAAAACTAAAGTTTTAGTTCATTTGACACTTTAGTAACTTTCTCTACCTTCCATGAAAAGCGGCTTTTCATTTAGTGATGACAAAAATCAGTTCTGGGTGTAAGTTGATCTTCCCTTTGTAATTCAGCTCTCCTCACTTTAAAAAAAAAAACAAAACAAAACAGGCCTGTGCAATTATGTGCTTTACTAAGAACCAAACATACACAACCCCAAATCTGTAAAGGATTATGTATAAATGAGTAGCTGCCCGCTGCACAGACTGGGCCAAGTGTTGTGGATTAAGAACATGACTGTTAACTTATTTGATTCTAACATCTGTCTGTGACAGCAAGCTCACAATCTTTCTTCTCTGGTGACAGGCAAGTTGGGAAATTTGGGAAAGATTAAGCAAGTCCAATAAAAATTTAATAGCAGCGACAGCTTTACTCTCAGATCCAACACAAATTAAAAAATTGCGATTTTTGTACTGAGGAAATAATCTAATGAAAATGATAAAAATCCACACCAGAAAAGGAATCATTCCAGTTATCGAAAAAAAATTTATTACATGTGATGAGAGCCCCAAATGAATTTCTATTTGGATTCGCAGAACAACCTTTCAGATCTGTGAGGGGCACTTCCTTTTTCTGGAGGCTTCGCGGGCTGCCTTTAGCAGTGAATTGATTACTTGCCCAGGTAGAGTCTGTACCTTATTCCAGGAAGTGAGCCAGATATGATAAATAAGACTGAAGCTGTGGAATATCCATGAGATGCCGTATTGTCATTTAGACCGAAAAGGAGACAAAAAAAAGAGCAAGCAATAGCACTGACCCTGGCCCCTCAGTTCTCATCCGCATGACGACAGTAACGCGTGCGGCTCCAGTTCCAGTTTGCTGGGATCCCACTTCTGTGCCGCTTGGGGAGAAAGAGGTGGGACAGGATTTGACAAAATTGGGAGACAAAGCCTATTTGGCAGGTCACTGTGGATGTGCTGTCATCTTGCTCTTGTGTGGTCTGTGTGTCAGGGTTAGTTTTATCCTTCAGCCACCCTCCCCTTCTCAGACGCTAATGGAACCTGCTAGACAGGCTGGGGAAACCTGCCAAGGTGCCAACCACAACTCTCTAGGCAGAGAATCTAAACCCAGTGTCAGAGTGGAAGCATCCTCAATCAAATGAGAAGACGACTCCAGAACAGGGTACACGATCATCTGAGCGGGTGAGACGCTTCCACAGGAGGCAGGTGGGGGGAGACTGCACCCCATTCTGTACCAAGAGGCACACGAATTACTAATCCAAACCCTGAGAAGGTTAAGAAACGTGCTCACTGGCCAGTCTATTTGGGGGAAAGAGAGACAGGAACGTGGAGGAAGGTCCCCACTGTGTGCATGTGTATGCTGTGGGGAAGGGAGTGGAGACCAGAACTTATGATAATAACTGGTCTCAGCATCTGACAACAGAAAAAAAAAGGTGTGTTTATGTATAAAATACATACAGGAGGGGAACAGCATTGCAACAGAACTTGCTCTTCTAGTCATGTGGCCTCTGGCAGCAGAGCTGCTCCTGTGTCTCTGAGAACAGTCTTCTCCAGTATACTCAGTATACGCCCAACACTCCGCTCTGTTGTATGTCTTCCACCTTCAAAGGTGACTCTTCAGGGCTTCCCTGGTGGCGCAGTGGTTGAGAGTCCGCCTGCCGATGCAGGGGACACGGGTTCGTTCCCCAGTCCGGGAAGATCCCACATGCCGCGGAGCGGCTGGGCCCGTGAGCCATGGCCGCTGAGCCTGCGCGTCCTGTGCTCCGCAAGGGGAGAGGCCACAACAGCGAGAGGCCCGCGTACCGCAAAATCGAGTGGAAACTTTTCAGCTCCTTTAGAGACTGTTTTTCACTCTCTCAGCTAGAGGCACAGGTTCTGGGACACCAAGCCCTCTTCCTGCTTCCTCTGGGTTGTCTCTAAAGCCCTTCAATCAGTAACATCCGGATCCTGAATTTAAACCGTCCTTTTTCCTCAAGCTCCCAAGGAGCTCCAAGCATTTCCCACGTCCTGCCACCACCCCCTGTGATGCAGGAAGAGGTCCTAGGTAGGGAAGCAAGTGCAGGTTTGCTAGGAGCTGGTGGCACAGCTGGGGCCAAGGCGCGGGGACCACAGGGCAGCTGGTGGATGGATCCTGGCCACTCTGACCCTTTGCCTTTCCTTCGGACTCAGTATTACATTTCAGTCTCTTCACTGTGACAAATCTTAGATCTCTCTGATACTGTATTTAGTGTCTTTGTTTTTTGGGTTTGACAACTTGCTCTGAAAAGCAACAGGTAGGTACAATTTCTCACATACTCAAAACCATCAGGGTTGCTAACGCAGAACCTAGGCAACATAAGACCAACTTAACTAGCAAGGACACTGCTCAGCTTATACTTGAAAGTAAAGCTGAGGAGACACGCACCCAGCAGGACACCAGTGCTTGCTTAATGAGGGGTTACTCGCAGGGTGCTGTCTTTTATAACACCTGTCAGTCAATCGCAAAAAGCGCTTTCCCTGGAGCCTGAAATCTAAGGGGGCAGAGTCACAAAGGGGCCTTTGTGTGGTGTCTCCAGGCAGAGGCAGGGGACCTTTAGCCTAAGAAGAGATAAGAGAGCCTCCAGCAGGAGGGTGATCTTCCCAGGTGTTTCTCAGTTAAAGCCACCCAGAGTGAGGTCTGGGCGCCTTGACCCGAGACTCTGAACCTTTGGGGGAGCTGGGAGAAGAGACGATCAGGAGTGAAGAGGCCTCAGGAGACGGGGACAGAGAAGGGAGAGAAAGGGCCGAAGGACGGGGCACCCAGGGATGGCCAGGCGAGTGGCGTACCCAGCACGTGGCCACCCCGCGGGTTCTGGGGATGGGGGATGAGGAAGCCTCTGAACCTCTAGTCAGAAACGGATGGAATATTCTCCAGGATCTCACGTGACCGTGATGAGCTGAGACCTTTTTTGCTGTGGACAGCTGTCCCTTCATTCCCATTCACTGGTCCATTCAACAAATATCCTGGCGTGTCCACACTGTGTCACACAGTGTTCTCAACGCTTAGGACAGAAACATGCAGCCTCTGCTCCTGAGGATCTCGTGGAGGAAACGGGTGTGTCCCTGTCACTATTCAGGTGGCAGAAGATCAAAGTGCCGAGGCCGCCTGTGAAGCCTCCAGGAAAAAGTAGCCTCTGAGATGCTGCGTGCTTCCAGGCGGAGGGGAAGCCTAGGTGTGGGAGGCCCGCCGGTTTCAGACGGGGGGGGGTGGGGCAGGGTCTGGTGTGGCCCAGGGGGGCACCGGGCAATGGCAGGAGGTGAGGCAGCGCTAGGCCGTGAAGGACCGTGCGCGCCATCCGGGGGGGGGGGTATGTAGAAGGGTTTTTATCTGGGCGGACAGGAAGCCAGAATTATTTAATCTGGGGCGGGGCATGACCGGACCTCATTAGCAGAGGCTCAGGGAGTGGAGACTCGGGTTCCAGGACGTGGCCGAGCCTGGAGCTGCACACTGGGGAGCCCCCGATGATGGAACAGTGCGAGTCACGTAGGAGGACGCACAACGAGAACGAGAAAAAGCACCAAAGATGGAAAGCAGGACCCGGGTTTAGGAGGCAGGCAGAGGAGGAGGTGGGGAAGGAGACCCAAGGCACTGACAGGGAACTTGGAGGAGAAACAAAGAGAATGCAATCACAGAGCCTGGAGTAAGAGAGTGGCAAGAAGGATGTGATTCGAAAGGGTAACAGTCAATATGGAGGTCAAGTCTGAGTGTTAATATAAACAAGTGAAATCTGATGATCCGGACGCAAAGCAGCAAAGGTTCACGTACGTACAGGAGTGAGGTCAGGGGCAAAATGCCCTGGATTCTAAAGTGAACTGGGTGGGGAGGCAGACTCAGGGAATGCAGGCCCTTTTGGAAGAAATCTGACCAACAATGTCAGAGGAGAAAGGAACTACTTTGTTTTGTTTTTGGTTAGCAAAGGGAAGGAGGATAAGGTCGTGGGCATTTTTTGAGCATTATCACGTGTCAGCTGTCTATCGGTGGCAATACTTACGTTATCTAATTTTAACTCTGAAAACACCCGGAGGTAGGTATCAGCCTCGTTATATAAATGGAGAACCCGAGGCTCAGAAAGGTTGAGAAATTAGTCCAGGTTCCCAGGAAATTGTAAAGGGCAGATCAGAGCCAGGAAAGCAGACCTGTTCTCTCCACTGCACCACGCTGTGTTTATTTGCAATGATTTGGGGGTGCAGGAGAAGACAGCAGTGAAAACTGGGAGACCCAGGGGGAGGATAAGCACATGATTTACTGCCCAAGCCTGAAAGCCTTTGAGAGTGAAAGGGGCGTCGCTGATAATCATGCCGGGACAACAGGAGCAAAGCAGCTGCCCCAGCATAGCAGGCTGGCCAGTCCCCTGACTGAGGACACGACGTGTGGCTGCCTCAGTGACCTCCATGCCGCCAAGCATGGCTGCGTGCAAAGACATCTTCCAAGAGGTACACTAGCTTCACTGATAAAGACGTTCACGTACAACCCGCGTCTGGAGCCTCAGGACAGCTCTGAGGCAGGCTGTACCTCTATGTCCAGTTCGTGATGGGGACCCGAGATGAGAAGTATTGAGTGACTTGTCCAAGGTCCAGAGCTGGTGAAGAGCGGACGTGAGCCTTGGAAACCAGATCTACTGACTCTGATGTGACTTGTTACCTAATGCAATAATCCATTTGGTTACCAATTAAAAATCTTAGTAGTCCATTGCTCTTTATAAAAAGCATCATTTAAGTGTAAAAGAAGTCAAAAGGTTAAAAAAGGAGGGAGGGAAGATTTTTAATAAAAAAAAAAAACTCATCCAGTTATAGCTGGATAGTGTAGCATCTTGCTAGCTACTTTTATAGAACTGTAAGTTTTTTCACACTGAAAAACCACTCGGTCCCTCGGTGCTCTGTGTCTTGTTGAGTCAAGGGCACTCCCAGCCTGAGCCTGGAGCTCTGCTCCCCGGGGCTGGTGGCTGGGCTCTTCCGCAGGCTTGGTCACGGTTACTTCTACTCACAGTGAAAGTTCAAGTAAGAGGCTGTGTTACGGACAGTCTCACGAGTTTGTGCTGCTGTTCTATGGACCCCCAAAATGTGACATTCAAGCATCTAAAACCTGTCTCCCAAACTCTCACACCACAGCCACAGAAGCACAGAAGGCTCTTAGCAGGCCAGGGGGCCTAAGGTTTGATCGGTTGTTTTTTGTTTTGTTTTTTAAAAATAATATCTAGAGGCTTGTGGCCTCCTAGGGATGATTATTCCTACATAATGGCAGAAAACTGACCTCAGAAGGATTCTTCATTGGTAAATTGTCCCACCGTCACTTTGGGGAGAACGAGATTTCAAATGACCATCTCTAAATAGTCATAATTCAACTGGTGTTCACCTTTCCTGGAAGAATGATCCCAGAACCACCAAGCCCAGATTGAAAGAAAAAAAAGAAAAAAGTAAATATCTGACTTAAAAATCTCTTTCTATTTTACACGGTGTTTCTGGTAAGATGATTATTTGTGTGTGTGTGTGTGTGTGTGTGTGTGTGTGTTTAATTTATAATTTATTTTATTCACTTAGTACAGTAAGAACACCTTTCCATGCAGTTAAATATATTTCCACAGAATCTTCTTTTTTTTTACCTTAAGCAACTAGTACTTTTTATGAAGTCATGCAGATCCAAACAAATAAAAATCAATAGGCAATAGAAACAAATCACAAAAGAGAGACCTCATTTCATACATAAGACCACCAGTGAGATTAGCAATCTTTTTCATTTGTACTATTTAAAGTAAATGGCCTGACATAATTTTCACTGTTGAATCTTAAGGTGAATTTCAAAATCATTTGACTAAGATTTTAAGATACAAAACCAAAGCACATTATATAAAGCTTCTCCTTTAGAAGACAAAAGACGACGAAGTAACCGAGAGCAAAGAATTGTACTTTGTATCATCTAAAAATTCGATGAAGCACTTCTGCAATTATTTTCCTGCAGCTTATTCATACCTGAGCCTCTTTTTAACCTTCTTCTGGCCAGTTTGATTTGATCCTGTAGAATCTGAACCCAGTCTCTCGGGCCAGGAAGTTTATCCACGTGATTAGCAGTGCAGTATTTTTCTGTGAAGACTGAAAGAAGATGCGAAATATTGTTAAATATTTTAACAAAGAAAATATGCAGATCTGAAAAAGGACCATAACCCCAAGAGGGAAAAAAAAAAGAGTGTACTTCTAAAAGATGTCAGTTCTGCAGCGGATATTCTCAAAATCCATATGGCATTCCTTTGGTGAAGATGGAGCTTGGCAGGGCCCATCCTACATACCATGTCCCGTGCTTCCAAATGAAACCGGTTACAGATACTAAGTAGTTCTACGGAAACTACTCTCTCTAATTGCTCCACGTCCATGTGTATGTGTCTTACGGGCAGAGGAGAAAATGCTTCCTAGGGGTCCATTGGCCCCATGACAGAATTCTGCAAGTGTATCAATGTATTTCACTTTTCTGCTAACTCAAAATCAAATGGAAAATTACGCAAAAAGATGATGGTCTCGTGGTGATTCCTGCTAAGTCGATCGGCACTCAAAATAGAGGCAGCGCAGTTGGGTGTTAGCGAAAGTTCCAATCCTACTTTGAGTCAACCTCTTGCATCTTGTACTAGCAGCTCCTAGGAAAGAGCTCCCTAATAAGCACAAAGGAAACTCTGGAGTCACGTGCCATGACAGTTATCTTAGTAAAGCCGCACAGCGTGTGATGGTGCACGCAGCGCTGGGGTTGGCATTTCTGCTTCACACATCGTTCCTGAGCACTTTTCAACCTGCTCCCCTCAAGGTCAGGGCCTGCTATGCGGTCACGTCACACTGCCTCCTTGGTATTTAAAACATTGATAATTTTAACATTTTAAAGGTTTCTTTTAAAAAGAAGGGACAGAGGAAAATGTTGACAGATTCAACTACATAAAACTGTAACATTTCTATTGAATAAAAAATAAACATTTCATTTGAATGAGCAGAGCTGGTTGCACTAAATCTACCACGATAGGAAGAGCTCATCCCAAATAAAAAAGCAACTTCAAGCCTCCACCGATAAGTGGAAAAAGTACACTTAGCAAAACATGTTCAAATAATTTGTAAGCCGCCAAGTTGCAAAACACTTTATACCTACTAAATTAGAAAAACAATTACGCTAAAACTTAATATTGATAAAATTCTGTGGATCTGGCACATTCAAATATGACTGTTGGCATAAATTGGCAAAACCCTTTTGGGAAATAAGATGGTTCTATATAATGAGACATAAAACTGTTCTTCCTTGGGACTGGTAATCCTATTCCTAGAAATGTATCCTAAGGAAATAGTAATATGAAAGAAGGGGAAAAAGTCATAAACAGTCGTCCCCTGGACTCTGTGGGGCATGGGTTCCAGGACCCCCATGGTACCAAAATCCGCGGATGCTCAAGTTCCGTATATACAATGTGTATTATATGCATACAACATATGCACATCCTCCTGTGTACTTTGAATCATTTCTGGATGACTTATTATACCTAATACCACGTAAATGCTATGTCAGTAGGTGCCTGCACTTGGCAAATTTAAGTGTCGCTTTTGGGAACTTCCTGGAATTCTTTTTCAAATACTTTTGATTGGCAGCTGGTTGAACCTACAGGTGCAGAGCCTGTGGATCCGAGGGGCCGAGTGTACAAACATCAACAATCCAGTTGTGCAGGAAGAGATGCAGGGCAGCAAGGGGCGGGTGGATGTGACGGGGTAGGAGCACGGGATGCCTTTCAGGAATCGACAGGATCACGGGAATCGGGGCCAGCGCTAGCGAAGACGAAGGGGTGACGGGAACAGATCAGGAACTGGCAGTTCTGGAGAATCCCATGACCCGGTGAATACAGGAGGAAGGTGTGTGAGGGAAGCTGCGAGATGCATCAGGTGTGGCTTGGAACACGTTGAGTTCAGGGTGTTTGCGGAGTCCCCACATGGGGACAGCTGGCGGGTATTTCAATACAGAAGCCTTTGGTTCAGGGAAGGGGGGGGTCCTGGAGGAAGATGGAGGTTCGAGGGGCACAAACATATATGTGGTCATTAAAACGACAAGAGAAACAACAGTGACCAGGGAGAAGTTTTCGAGCGAACAGAGCACTGGCCAAGCACAGAGCAGAGAGGACCCCCGGGTCTGAAAGGAGGTTGAGGCACGGGAGTCCAGGAAGGAGCCGGAAGCGTGGTCTTGTGCAGGCGCAAGTGGTGCGAACATACCCAAGAGGAGGGACCCACAGCCCCGAGTGCAGACGAAGGGCCAGGAAAGAGGAGAGGAAAGGGTCCCTGGAGGCCGTCATCAAGGGCGTGGGGAGGGTGGCCACAGATGACACTCTCCAAACGCCAGGCCTGGCGGTGGGCCTGGGGGGAGGAAGGGGCGGGGGAGGAAGGATGGGGATGGGGGAAGGCGGCCAGTGGGGATCCAGGGAGGATGGGGGGACAGTCTAAGGAACCATGTACCAGAGGAACTGGGGGGATCGGCATTCGGGAGAGGGATGGGGGGTTACCCTCGACCGGGACCAGGAGGAAAGCTTCCTCCTCTGAACGCAGAGGAGGGGAAGACAGGGGTGGACTTAGAAGGGATCAAGGTGGGTCCTCATCGCTCCTGATGCCTCAATGAACTCAATGGTGAAGGGCGTGGAGAGTGCGGGAAGGTCTGGAAGTGCCCAGAGGAGAACAGGAACAGGAAGGCAGCAGACGAGAGCGCAGGATGCCGAGTAGGAGCGGGGCTGCGTGCTTGTGGCGGCAGCGGCCATAGGGCGGGTGTTTTCTCCAGGGCACCTGGCAGCTCCTCGTCTGGGGTGGAGACACCCGATGGGAGGGTTGGTGTAGGGTTAGGAGTTCGCCGGACAGGTTTGGCAGAAGGACAGGATAGAAAGCATTGAAGGTGGTGGTGAAGATGCCCCCTGGGATGAAATTACAGCTTTCTTCACCCACCCTTCCTTTCCACCCATATCTGGGAAGCATGTGAAGCCAGAAAATGGCTTAGACTCGGGCAAATCTATGGAGACCAGGAAATGGATATATCAGTGGGGTTGGCCAGGAGATGGGGCAACTGAGAGTATAACGGTGGAGCGTCAATGTTGGCAGCGAGCAGGACGTGGGGTCAACGGTGTGGGGTTGAAGTGTAGTGGAGATGAAAGCCAGTGAGGACGAGGTCTGGACACTCTAGCTAGGGGGTCACGGGATCACGAGATCTCTCATGTGGATGGTGAAGTTATCCAAGATGGCAGCAGGACCTGGGAGTGAGGGGAAGATGCAGAGGTGTGCTGATGGAAAGGCTCCATCCTAGCCCCAACTGAGAAGAGGAGGAGAGATAAGGAGGAGGGAGGGTTAAGGTCCAGGGAGAATGTCAACCAGGCTGCCCAATCTATGATACATGGGTCATGCGAGTAAGCAGTCTCCACCTGGGAGAGATGCAGAGGGGACAGCACCCCTGGGGTAGGGGTGCTTCTGAATCTCCTGTATCAGACTATAGACAGGGGTCTTCGGGGGTCTTTGTTTATTTTCTCTCCCTAAAAGCACCTACTGCAGTGCCCTAGACTAAGAACTCCATAAACATTTGAAGAATAAACAAACATATTTTCTACTTTTGTTTCTAATGGAAGTAAATACAATAGCTCAGATATTTAGGCTAACTGGGGGAGAAAGGCCTATCTGAATTAGTAGGAAGTCTTAATAGCATATATTTAAAGAAACAAGGTTTTATTACACTCAAATGCCCACAATGACACTTCTTAATCAGAGGGCTGCTGAAAAGTTCTTGAAATCGTGTTTTAACGAACAAAAGAAAATATTTGTATTTGGCACCCTATTTGATTATAGGAAAATGTACACCACAGAAATGATTGAATACACCGTCTTAGCAGGTAAACATCTCACTCCTTCCTTGTAATATTATTTATGTAATTAATTTCCATAGCAACCCCTCTCTTCTTAGATTGGGAAATGCATGCATCCAAATTAGCCCACATTAGGAAGCAGAGATTCGAAATTAACAAAACAGATTTGGATTATGCCAACATCAAAGTGATTCCCGGCAACCACGTGTGTCAATGACTAAGTCCAGGAGAAACAGAGGGAAGGTCTCCCACTGTGTAGGTGGCTTCCAAGCGGATCTTTCTCACCATTTTAAGCTCAAGTGTTCTGCCACTCGTTCAAAAGGTGACAATTTCTGGTCATTGTTTTCTCCTTTCAGTGAAAAGTTATCTGGTTTCAATCATAAGAAGCCAGGGAAATCTCTGCCTCCTGGGTCTCCCTTTGCTTGCAAAGCACTGGGCTTTCCGAAAAATACCTCTACAAACAAATATTTCCGTCGGGCATATTACTGACATTCTAGTTCATGGCTTACACTCAAACTTAAAAGAAACTTTTAACTAGAATCTACCTACAGAGGACGAAATCCTATTCTTTCTGTTACATGCGCAGATGAGTCCTGAGAACAGGGCCAAAGGACAGTCATTGTATTGATCTGAAAACACTCCATATGCTATGTGGATAGAGGTATCGGGTAAGCAGAACATATTTTTTGCTACGTGAATCTATAGCTAAAGGTCAAGCTATTATCCCGGTAATAGTTCCATTAGGAGTAATGATGTGAAAAGAGGTACTGCATTTATGAGCTGGGTTTCCTACTATGTTAATAGTGGGTCATTAAGAATCAGAGTAGAACAGTTTGCATTTATCCTTAGAATGCAATAGGTCCTAAAAAGAAATTCCCCTCTTCTCCTGTTTTAATATATTAAGGGGAATCAAGGGATAATTTTAAACAAGTCCAAATAATCTGAACAAGTGGATTAAGCCCAACAATTAAACTAAATAAAAGAGTGGAAGCATCTACTCTGCTTAACGTACTTTGAGGTCCCAAGGCACAAAAGAGTATGTGAGGTCACCAGGGAAATGACAAACGCTCAATGTGATCTGTACGTGAATAAGGACTTTTCTCAGATGCTTGCATTCATTCGAGCCGTGCCCTTTAACTGTGTATCAATAATGAATAAGCTAGCTGTGGCTGAGTGGATCCTTCCCTGGGAACGTGGCATCTAATATAATCATCAGTGAACACGGCGGTGTGTAGCGTGTCTGAA